GCAATGACAATGCAAATATCTAAATATCTGCCTGATACGTGATAGCAGGCGAGGTAAGAATTGTAAAATCATGTTCACATGTAAAGGTGTGCTCTTGTATGAGTCATGGATTTGGCTATAGCATGGTACATTGGTAGAGTGTCCTTACTCCCTTAGTTTTCTCTCTGCAGTGCAACAGGCGATGGCGTATTGTGACGTCCGCAGCACCTAGCCAGGGTTGTGTTGTTCTGTGTGACAACCCGGCCTATTCTGTTGTCAATGCAGTGGCTCGCGTCTGACGTGCACGTACGCATTCACGTGTGGTCCTTGGCAACACTGGTTGGCAAACAATGAAACATCAGCGCTACTGAGTACTGTACTGTAGATCTGCACAATGATATTCCACTCTACATGTACAGTATGTTCTAAAATAAAAATATGATAGCGGAAAGCCACCGAGAGATAGCATACGTACATGTCTACATGGGAAATATACGTTTGCGGCGCGAGTGGCATTTTGTGATCCCGCACTGCCACTGCCACTGTGCCAGTACGTACATGTACTACAGAACGCTACAGCTGCTGCTACAGTTTTACAACTGAGGCCTACATGTACATGTATGCGTACTGCCCACTGGCCATCAACACACTGGAGATAAAGTGCAAGTCACGGATGCCAATCGTCAAACGACACTCTCCAGCTGCACATGCTTTCGTGTTTTCCGGAACGACGTTATCCGGGCACAACACTGGCAGAACAACAGAGCGACTGTCATTTCCACTGGGCAGATCTACAGGTCTTGCATGGTACAGTACCCACCTCTGACAAGGTTGCCAGTGCAGTCGACCCTAGCGCGTGGGTCCCAGTCGTCAGCAGCCCGTCAAATGTCAGCACCAACGGCTGACAGTTAACATGCAAACGGGGTCGCATTCCAGCTGCTAGCTGTCCGTCTTTGGCCGTAACGAAGTCTATCATGAGTACACCTGAAACATGCGTACATGGTTTTAGACGTCTTGTCAACGCTTGAGAGCAGGTTCGGAGCCCAGCTTTACCCATACATGGATGGCGCATTGGGAACTGAAAGACAACACGACTAGAAGTAGAACTTCTCTCGGCGCTAGACAAAGGCAACGTCGCCGTAACATGCGAAGAGAAACTGTGGGTGTGGCGGCGCGGAGACCTGCCTCTTACAGACCTCTGCAAATATGGAGACGCTCAATTCGGCACGTACAATCTACAGGTACAATTATAATGTAGCTGCTCGGCATTGGAATCATTGGTTGGCATTAAGCAACACACTACACAGACCTCACCTTAGGCGACTACATTCCACATGTACAAATACATGTTGCTGCAGTGCTTTCTACTAAAGCATAATATTAATAATACAGCTCAGAACAATAACGAAGGTCAAAATGCCCGAAAAGGCCCAGTTGACAAGTGGCTGAATGGAGCTGAGAATTGTTCACACCTGCATTGAAGAACAATCGAACCCTTCCAATTGCATACTTGCTAAGCCACACCTGTTGGCACGCAGAAATCGATCACCGCCGCTGATGAGTCCCCCGTCCGGATTAGCGCGTCGTTGAAGGGATTTACCAACCCCTTCTGGGGAAGATATGGGCAGCACTAGATTTCGGCGAATCAGGCACAGTTCATTTGATGAAAGGCCATACATGCCTGATCAAAAGCTTCGTTTGAGCCTACATCTGAACTTGGGACTATAACTGGAGCGCTGAAAGCAAAGCAGCTGGGAGTGTGACTTATCGCCAAGTGAAAAAGTCACGAGGTGTTCATGTGTGTTTACTGTTACATGTACATGTAGGTGCTTTCTACTGGGAATGAATAATTTATTGATCCACAGAGCTACAATGTACGTTGTATATGTACATGTACAAATGTAGGTCTGGCGTGATATAGCGTGCGAAAATCACATAATGAAGAGAGATACATTTACACTGTACATGTGCAGTACATCATTACTGTACATTCTGGATTATCAACATTTGTGGGACACGACATAAACTATTCTGAAAACTGTGCACTATCGAGAGCTACAATTAAACATTGGCCCGAGCTTTATCTGACTATTCAGAACTGCGGAGATTGATTTCAGAGATTTTCTCTGAAAAAGGTTAAGAGAGGGTTTCTGGTATTGCTTGTTGTTGTTGTTTGTTGTTTGGCTTTATTTAAAGTGGAGTTCCAAAACAGGCCTAAACCTAATGACAATGGTCCCACTGATAATAAGAGAAAAGAAAATATAATAATAAGCGGACAAACAGAACCAAGAAGAAGATACAGCTGTAGTTAGATAACTAATATGAGCACGGCAGCAGGGGAAAAAAGTCACAAGCACGGCAACCGGGAAGAAAGGAGTGAGTGAGTGAGAGAGAGAGAGAGAGAGAGAGAGAGAGAGAGAGAGAGAGAGAGAGAGAGAGAGAGAGAGAGAGAGAGAGAGAGAGAGAGAGAGAGAGAGAGAGAGAGAGAGAGAGAGAGAGAGAGAGAGAGAGAGAGAGAGAGAGAGAGAGAGAGAGGTAGTGAAGCAGATGAGTTCATCCTAGTTGACGGTACTGCCTAACAGAAAGGCCATTGCTTTGATTCGTGTAGCACACAGTAGACGCAATGTGGGAAAGAATCCTAGAACTAGACGTTACATGTAGTAGAACCCTTCAAACGTGCTCCACGAACAAGTGAGGTTGGTTGACTGGTAAGCAACCCATGAAGCAACGTGTGTGAAAGGGAGGAGCAAAGACAAAGAGACACCACTTAATTGCTACATACTTCAGAACAACAAATCCAAAGTCAAGTTTTTCCCGATGCGACGCATGTCCCGAGCGCGAAATGAAGTACTGTACATGATGCAGAGTTTGAATAAGGATTGAGGTACATGCCCTGTACTGTACTTGCAGCCTAAATGTAACGCTTTTAAAATACCGAAACTAAACTCATCAATTGTTTGAAAGGCTTGTGATGTTGGGAAAATACAAGTAGTACAGAATGCCATTGAAGCTACACAGTACACAGTACACAGTACACAGTACACTGTACAGTGTAAATTTGTAATGTACTGACACATTATACATGTACGTGTACGTGTAAAATGGCGACATGAGAAGATGAGTCTCGTCTGGAAATGGAATATTACTACTACATGTACAATGTTCATTGCATGACAGCGTAATCATGTACTTGATGAAACCGAGTACTAAGGTACCAGAGCGAAAACTGCCATGGATCATTCATTGGATGCAGAAAATGACAAAGAGCATTATACTGTACAGGATACAGAGACAGAATTGCATCACGCTATCCTACTTTCGGCTTTCCCTTGAACTTGTAATGGTTTAAAAATGTCTTGGCATGCAGCCATGTGTACATCAGTGTGCTGAAGAAACGGGAAGCAGTGCGTGCAAGGACTTAGTTAGGCCGCGGTCACACCAAACAAGCCGTTTCCCGCTTGCGCTGAAAGTGGCTTGTGCTGAATGGGGCGGTTGGTCACATAACACCACTTCGCGAAATCGGCTGGATTTTTTTGTGTGCTAGAGTTTTTTTCTTCCCGCTCATTTTTGAATATGATTTTCTCTTGTTGTCCCGTCCGCCTTTTCCAGCACACTTCTTCAGTTCGTCCAAGATCCACGCTCTCTTTCTGGTATTTTTTTCATAGTGGTCTCATACTTGGTTTTTGTTTCAAACCAAAACTCCAGTAGTCGCCGCTCCAGTGCTACTGTCCAGGATTCCATGATGACCGACAAAAAGGCAAGGAGAGAAGTTTCACCAACAACGAAAGCCGGAAGGTGGCAGAACACGATGCAAGCTGGAAGATCCTGGCGAGCTGAAATTCGCTCCTCAAGGCGCTCGACTCGAGCCAGCAGGGGGTGCAGGGCCGTCGACACGGCCGCCGTAACGGAACGTGGATTTAGGCCAGTTGTGAGTAAGCTGGCCGGCTGGGGAACGGCGGACGGGATATCGTCCTGCTCCGCACAGGCATTGCCGGAACGATCCGCACGGGCATTGCCGGAACGATCGGCCGCATGGTCCGCAGGGCTAGGGGCTCGATTTGGAGTGTCGGCATACGGGGACGACGAGGTGCGCCTGCGACTGGAATGCCTGGGCCCGGGAGCCGACTGCTTACGTGCACGGGGCATCTCCGTGAGCTGTGGTAAACCTTGAGATCGATTGAGGTTGAGAAAGAAATCCACTGCCAATGCGGACAAAGCAAGAACTGAACGAGTTTATTTTTCCCGCCACTGCGCCAGAATGGCTGAAAGTGGCTGAATCCATTCAGCGCTCCCATTCAGCGCTTTGAAAACGGCTGACTGCTGAAAAAGGCTGAAGCCGAAAATTCAGCCGTTTCCGTAGCGACGATGACGTCAAAAAGCGCTTTTTTCCGCTGAATGGCTGAATCGCGCTTGGTGTGACCGCGGCCTAAGACCAGTAAGGTTATTAGTACTAGTAGTCCATTGCTGAGCTAGCAGTCAATGAAGCATTACAACAGTCATTGCCAAGAGTCTGACTCATGTAGTACTAGTAGTACTTGATAACGGGTATATTCAGTCCTGGTACGTACACGTAGCTGCATGTTCCATCATGTCAGTGCCCATCAATCAGCTCTCTCTCTCTCTGTTTACAGTCACAGCTGCGTCAAACAATGTGGTGACATATACAGGTACGAAATCAACACATGTAAATGTTGTTGATCCATCTACCCATGGAAGATTCCAGTTAACAGCAAATCCCATGTCACTACAAGCTAAATGTCGTAATCTGGTGCAGGCAGCGCCAGAACAAAAAAACGATAATATGAGATCACACACTCAACGTATCTTTGAGGAGACGTAATGAAGCCAACACACCTTAGTCATGTCGCCCTCTCATTCATCAACATTATGCCATGTGGGCTACCCTCACTGCAGGCACTGGGCCTCAGTCATGCGTTTTCACCAATGCTTATCTCCCAGTACTGCAGTAGAGAGACCAGGGCACATCTCCAGATGCACAGCAAGACAACAACACACTGTAGTTTGTTTGGGGAATTATTCCTTTTTCTGTTAGCATCGACTGCACAGGAGCAGCCGAGAGCATTGATTAACATGTTGTCGATAAAGAGAAAATATAACTGTTTTTCTGGAATAAATATCTGAGACTCTCTGAGTTTGTTGCATTCAAGATGTGGAGATTACTGAATCAAGATGAGTAGAAACTTTCTACTCTCTCCAGTGTGATATCAGAATTGATGTCATAGTGGCATAATGACGTCATAGATAGTGATGTTATAATCAAGAGAATAGCCAAAAGGTTCACGGTTAGGGGATGAGGTAAAAATAGAGCATGAAGAAAGTTTCTTTTTTACATGGCTGACGGCTGCTGGTGAGATGGCATCGAAACGGCCGGCGTGAAGTACGTGATTGGCATCTGCACGGGTTGTGCAGGCATGGGTGCTGGTGGTGCAGCCGCGTAACCGGGCCACTGCGGTGCCGCTACCATGGCTCCGGCGGGCACCACGCGGAAGAAGGTGATGGCGGGTGAGCCACCCACGCTGACGGCGGGCATGGGAGCGGGGCCCGCGCATCCACTGGCAGCAGCACTGCCGTTGGAGAGGAGGCTGGCGACGGAGAATGGGGATCCGGAGGCCGTCACGGGCACTGGCGGTCCGCTGAGCACACCGCCGGTCTGGAATGCTGTGTGTGCCGGTGCTGCCGCTGTGTGATGGTAGGTGAACACCTGCGGTTGGACGGCGGCGGTGGATGGCTGAGGAGGAGATGCGGTGATGATAGCGGGTGATGGCGTGCTCGTTGTTGCCGTGTGACTGCGGATAGCCAGGTCGGGACTGACGGGCGGGGTGAGTGGAGTTGATGTCGACGACGAGCTGTACTGCTGACTGACCTGCCGCTGATTACTGCCGGCGTTCTGCATGGGTGCGACTGATGGCTGGATGCTCAAGTGATCGCGCTGGTTGAACAGTGGCGGCATTTGATAGCTACCGTTACTCGTGGACGTGATCAAGTTGTGCTGCTTGCGCGGAACACGGGGCCGCCGTGGAGTCTTCTTGACGCGCACCTTTCTCCGTTCACAGTACCCATCCTTGTACAGGTCGCTGTACTCAGTATCAATCTTCCAGTACGAGCCCTTGCCTGGATCGTCCGGCTTGCGACCTTCTCGCACGAAGCAGGCGTTCAGGGAGAGATTGTGGCGCACTGAGTTTTTCCAGTTGCCCTTGGCCGCTGCTTTTCCAGTCCTGACCTCTCGCTCGTCATAATAGGGAAAGTTCTTACTGACAAACTCGTAGATTTGCGAAAGTGAAGCACGTTGTTTGGGTGATGCACGGATGGCCATGAAGATCATGGCGATGAAGCTCTGCTTTGGTTTGCCGATGTTGGTGTGAGGCGCGAAGTGGAATTCCGACATTGGCTGCTCATGCTCCTCGGATTCATCGCCCACTGACATCTGCTCTGTGGATAGGGTTGAAGCGTCGTAACTCGGATAGACCGGCGCTGACGCGTTGGAGCGCAGCGAGCTTGGTGTGTTGTTGCTGCTGCTGCGCTGCAGGTTGGCTTCGCTCGAGGCCTGCTCGTACTCATAGACCTCTTGCTGCTGACTAGTGGCGATCATACTGACTTCGGCATCGCTATCGTAGCGGACTGCGAGCGGTATGAACGGATAACCAAGCGTACTGCTTGCGCTGGTGCTGACCTGGGCTGGCATTGCCTGCTGCTGCTGCGGCATGGGAATGAGCGCTGGCATTCCTGTAGAGGCGGCTGCCGCGCTAGGACCATCACAATGAGAGTCAACCATGATTGCAATTCAAAAGAAGGATATTCAACTGCTGATATAGTGATGTGTGTAGATATAAATATATTCACTGCGAGGCAATATTTGAGGCGAACTTTGTTTTCCTGAGCTTTTCTCCAAGTCTCCTCGTTCGCCGGCTGTAGGCTTCTGAGGAGAATCGACTCCATCTCGTCCTGATATAGCGCTGGCGAAGAACGGTGTCAGGCCAACAGCGCTAGCTGACAACACCGAACATGCCAGATTCTGTCCAGACTATAATTGGCAATTTTGACAGGACTAGAGTGTTTGCCAGCGCGCAACTCAGCACTTCGTGACGGAGCGAGTTCAGGTCAGGCTCAGCCACGGGCATGCAGACCATGCGCCCGGCCATGATGAACCTACGGAATGCGGTACTAGCGCAGTGCGAAATGTACGCACACCGGCATTCCACTGTACGGTCGCAAATGGCTGAACATGCCGTCGTACAGTGCAGCGGTCGCGCGCACGCTGCCAAAATCCTGATCTCCTCGAGAGGAGCGCTCTGCACCTGACCTAACAAGGCAAAAGTGACGTGTGATGTCATTTCACACCGCTGCCTCTGTGGAGCACAAGGTCGGATATGAATGTGTGCACTGCATCATGCCAGTGTGCAGCCTCGCACGAGATTTCACATGTTTAGTGTCCATGGTGTCAGTACTGAGACTTCGACCCTCACACAGGGTAGTACGCGAACCACGGGGACGTCACTGATGCAAGCTAGAAAACTCCACGTTGTAAATGATGAAAATACATGACTGACAGACTGTAGCATGCGGAAAAATTCAGCTTACAACGGTACGGGAGCACAAGGGCGATCATTTTTGATCGGGAGTGCCGCTTTCTGACGTTACCTCACTTCCACACAATGAATAATGATCTGAAATTATCTGGCCATTGGCATTTGTAATTAATTTTTGATTTGTCTATTTTTAGTGGACACCGAACTCTTTGCTGAGGTGTTCAAGGATCAATCCTCTCAGCCTTGAATGCCACCACAAACTTTAGTTTTCCAGCCTGGAAATCCAACACCAAGTCTGAAAAGGTGGCTAGCCACTCAGACATTAGAAGAGTCACAAGATACGCAGTGTACCGGTACAATGAAGTCGACTCGCTGCGTAATGCAAGACGAACAAACGGTGAAGGGTCTACGGTGTAGTGGATTTCTTAACCATCATCATGTGCTATGCCTGTACTAGGCTGTAGACTGTAGTAATATTCTAGCGAACAAACTTCTATTGTAACGCACAGAACACTATTACATGTGCAATTGTGTCATGTACATGTACATGTGTGATTTCACATTGCATTTTCATTTCAGAGCGATGTGCACGCTCTGTCCGCGAATCAACAAAGGGACGATGAATAAGGCAGAAACCCCGCCGCATATACATGTACATGTATATGTACATTGTACACGCTTCACCGAACGACACACACACACACACACGCACATGTACATGACAATTACATGACTACACACATCCGATGCGGAGCATGAAGTGAGTGGCATGAAAGCTTTCGCGTGGACAAAGACTTTCAATGCCTTCATGGTAATGATGATCAATTAAAAACTTTTGTTGATATTGTAAAGTGACGATAGTATATTTGGCACCAATTCAAAGTGATTTTACTACAGTACGAATGAATGCGTAGGAGTAACGGTCAACACTACAGGCAAATACATAATAATAATAATAATAATAATAATAATAATAATAATAATTCTCGTGTGCTCTGGGTGCCAGTCGTGAGTCAGTCAAGTGTCAAGTAAAGTCGGCGGAATAGCGCGAGCTCCGGTGTGGGGAGCAAACCTTTCTTACAAATAATAATAATAATAATAATAATAATAATAATAATAATAATAATAATAATAATAATAATGTATTGTTGGTTTGGTGGACGCACTGAGCAGCTAACTACCAAAAGTAGACACCATACCAAAACTGGTTACATGGCTGATTCTACATGACATTGTACAAGAATACGCCTGTACAGTAGATCTACTACGTGTAAATCATTGGGATATTATTAGGTGTGACCAAGTACCTGCGGGCGCAGAGTCTATGCGTATCTCTTGGTCCTAAACATGAAAAACAAACGATAACATTTGGACATTTTACCCAAACAGCAGAACCTGCCAGCTAACTAAACTCAGGCGTGCTGCATTTCGTTTGCCGCATCCTAGTATCGCGGTCGTGAATGATTGCACTCAGTTACTCACGTCAGATTTCAACTCGCCTAGGAACTTCAGAGCTGCGTTGTGACTGTTATCAATTACAGCGTCATCTCGATTTCATTTCGCCCAGATGGAACAAGAAGGGATTCCATAGCAATGACAGATGATCATTGATGAGTTCTATATCAGGTACGTTGTGTTTTCGTGATGGATCACGGAGATGGCTGTGAATCGAATACTGTGCATTTCACCCTTTTGAAGCAGTATAATTGTACGTAACAAGAAAGTCGCCGCGCAAGGAATGACCGTTCACTTCACTCGGGTCTCCCCTGATTTCCTCTCTAGCATGTTGCAACGCGAAATGAATAGGGGGTTGACGTTTCATGGACGTTTCGCACCGAAACTCAACGAAATTATACGTTAGATGAGTGTCGAAATACATGTACAGACTACATACACCCTGCAACTCGAAGGGGAGAGTGCCTGAAGAAGTGACAAACCAGTCCGACAGATGAGTAACCGGTCCAGTTACCCCTGGTCGTCCACCGATCGTTTCTCACCGGTTTCCTTCTACAACCGTGCAATGCGTTCAGTGAGCACTCAGTGCCGATATCCCGTAGCTCCTGCTCATCGCTGTGTTGTTCGCGCGGAGCGGCCTGCCTCTCGAAACACCGACAAAACAAATCCGAAATCGCTCCGCAGGTTTCCCCCAAGTTGGAAAGTCACATGCGTGCCATACGCTCGCACACGAGCGAAGTACATTGTAGTTAGTCTAAACCGGAGTGTCATCACTGCCGTTGCATGTGTTGCTGGTTATGTTATTGTATTCTACAGTGACTGGAGCGTATGATTGTGCAACGTTTTGGATCATAACACTGTTTCTTAAACAGTATCCATATCTATCCAAAAGAGAGCCACACGTACAAATGTACATACATGCACATGTACATGTATGCTCCATCTGCGGACAAAACTGTTTCGTCCTTTGTGTACTCATCAGCGTAGCACAGAGAATATGAAGCCGAACCTGTACGCTGCATCTCCAAGCAGTACGCAGAGGCTCACAAGCGAAGCCTGAATTCGTCGCCGATAATGGATCATCCAGGAACCAAACAGAATCCAGGGATGTTGTTTTATTGGCTGTGTGCCGCTTGGTGTCAGTAAATGCCTGCCTTACTGCTCTGGAGCTCGTCTCTTCACTGCACAGACGCTGATTGTTTTGAGTTTGCCTGAACATATCCTGTCCAAGTTACCATGTAGTTTAGTATAACATGTTACGCTCGTCGAGCCATTGACAGTTACCACTCAGTCTTGCCTTTTCGATACGATTTGATGGCGCCTTGTGCACCTCCGACTCAGAGTCAGAGCCCATGGGAAATCCATGGTCAAAATGATACTAACAGGATCATAACCGGGACAGAAAAGACTTTGAATGGCCACCAGCATGGAACATGTCAGTCAATTATCAAAATGGAAGTCCAGACGAAATCTGCATCGCACGATGAGACGGCATCCAGCTATTTTCAGTGCACAGCCACAGGTCTTACACATCGGTGACACGGAGTCAATACACAGTGTGAGTGTGAAGAAGAGGGTGTTGCGACTTCGGCGTTACACACCAGACACTGAGTGACTACTATAGATACCATGACAAAAAGAAAAAAGAATGGAGCGTATGCACCATTCTTGTACAATGTATGTCGTTGTGTAACGCTGCCCCAGTTCGGAGACACGGATCAGTTCCGCGTTGAGTAGCAGCTCGCAGCGACGCCCAGCGAGCGCACACGAAGCTGGTTAAATATGGTATGGCGCAAGAGAGCCAGAAGGTTTATCTCTGGAGTACGGGCGCGGAGGGCAAGGCGCTAAAACAAGAGTGCATGCAGCGGAGATCATCCGGGTCAACACCGCGCAACTCCATACTTATGGAGCCAGGACCATAGACCATACATCATAATAATTATACGTCGCCAAGGGATAGTGTACATTGCACCAGTAGAGGTGTCGTAATATATTCACTCCTGATTCCGCCGGATGCTCACACCAACAAGCATGCCTGATACATGCGATGCCAGGTGTACCACCAAAGCCACTACAAATGCGAGTGACCGCCAGCAGAGAATGGACAGTGTGTTTATCTGTTCTCAAAACCGGCGTCCTCTGAATGATCGCTCCTAAATTTAGGCAAAAGAAGCAGAGCTCTGTCCCCGACTTTCTAAGAAAAGACAGCTGCACAGTAGGGCAGCATCTACCCGTAGTGTCTGCATTTAGCCATGGCGCACGGGATGAAGCCAAGCAAGAACAAAGAAAGGGTTTTTACAGAACCCTCTGCGTCCTGCTCGATCAACATCCAGTCGAAAGCGTGGCCTGGCGCTATTTTCGTCCGCTGGTATGGGCCGCGGCTTTCCCACTCTTTCTAGCGCATTCCACTTGAAGCTTGGAGTACGACAGATCCGTAGGCGTAGAGTATAGTAGACGTTAGATCTAGTTCACACAAGAACATGTCCACAGCCGGAAACATGTATTTCAAGTGAGCGCTTAATGCCTGCACTATGGTATACGTCGCTACTTGATCACCCGCGACACGCGGTAGTTCAGCGCACGACCTGCCAGTGACAGGGCGTTCACCCAACCCTAGACCTGGCCGGAGCATGCAAACTGGAAGTATTAGTTGGAAGCCAGTACACCTTGCCTGGCACCTTGCTGGAAGTCGAGTATAACTTTATAGCAGTGTTCTCAGCCGGGTAACTAGCCGGATATCACCTCCAATTGCTTGCTTCCTTCCCCTGAACGCCCCAACTGGAATTTATTATAGTCGCGTTGTGGCAGAGAAAGCACAGCGAGGCAACTCATTTCAAGCTACAATGTCTAAACCACTAGAAGAGTGCTTCATAAACGATTCCCATCTAGCTGAGGAAATCGACGTTTATTGTCCATCGCCCGGTAATGGAATGCGGGTACGAGGGACACTCC